GGCAGCTTGTTTGGAGCGTTGCCAAATATTATTTAGTATATATTAATATTTTTATTATTTAGTCCGGCTTGCCAGCCTACCGATCTGTTGTTTTAATGTGGAACTTCAGCCTTGACTTGCCTCTGTCACTGGCCTAAACGTAAAATGAGATTTTAATTTTTTTTAAAGAAAAAGTAATTTAACGAGTAATGTGCGAGAATGTCACGTCTGTCTCCGGGGAGATTTGGTGTTTTTGATTGGAATTACCTTCCAGCCCCTAAGGCTCCGACTCTCACGCAGAGAATTAGATAAGAAATGTCTTCAATTAGAACATTTCTGCTGTTAATCTGATTTTCTTTGATTGTCTTCTGCATTTGCGATGAGTGTGCTCTCAGGTTAACGGTGAGAGGGCATGCAGGCAAATTGAATGAGTTAAAAAAAAGCCCTGGAAATAAACACGAGGGTAGAAAAATAGATGAAAGAAGTTATTCGTGTCTAAATTTGTGAAGATTTTGTGCTGAACTGCTAGTCCTTGTTATATTTGATAACACTGGAAAGTCTGATTAACCTTAACTACGAGGTGAAACGTGAGCATCATTCATCCAGTCTGTCACAGTCGGTGTCCTTGGGTGGTCAGAGGGACCGGCGGTCCTAGTGTACAACAGCCTCATCTCTGTCAGTGTGTCCCAGGGCAGCTGTGGCTACAATGCAGCTCACCACCACCCGTGTGTGAATAGGTGAATGACTAGTTGTGTAGTAAAGTGCCTTGGGGGGATTTTAGAGCCTTAGACGGTGATTATAAACACAGGTAATTTACCATAAAATGAACAACACAACTAAGTGGTCTCCCTGAGCAGCAGAGACCGGAGGATTCACCCTTGTCCTGAGCTGCCAGGTGTGTTACAGTCTCAGGTGATTGGTTTCAGACTGTCGGCCTGCTGTTTGTGCTAGAGGGACCCAACATGCACGGCTGTCCCAATACCCACTCTGTGGCCCACCATCCTCTACATGCACTTGGTGGAAGTGGACATAAGGCTTCAATTGTAGTAAACAAGTGAAGATAAGTGCTGAATTGGAACCAGCGCCGTCCCTCCCTACAGGCAGATCACACTGAGTACGTAGGGCCCCGCGATCCATGGGGGCCCTTCATCGAGCGTAAAACGATCCATTCTCGTCCACAAAGTGCTCCGTGCACTCAGCACAGAGACAGCCAGCCCATAGAGGAGAGAAAACCAACGAGGAGTCCAACACAGAGCATGAAACGGCGCCCCTGGTTGACCTACAATAACTCCTGTTGGAGGGATGAGATGTCATTCCACAGGAACATGTAACTAGCATGAAGAGGAGGAGCCAAGTTGGTTATTGGCTTGATGGGGAGGAGCCAAGCTAATGACTATCAAGAGGAGGAGGAGCCAAACTGGTGACTGGTATAAGAAGGAGGAGCTCAAATGTTGCTGCTAGATCTTCTACGCTATCGAAGTTTCCAACAGTCCTAAAACTGAATGCCAACAAGAGAATGCTGCAGGCGATTGTGGGTATTTTGAAGGCTCTATCCCACATGTGTTGTTCCTTTGTTCTTTACGTGGTCGTCATGGTAACTCATCAGGCTTATTTAGTAGAAAAAAATAATCAACAAATCAGTCATTTTCTTACTTTTTGTCCAAAGTTTTGTTCCGTTGGAAGAACTTTTGTTACAGGTTTATAAATAAATGGTTTCCTTGAGTTAAACCTGTTCTGCTGCTTAAATCCACTTAAGCTTTTCTGAGAATTCTCAGTAGAAATGCCATTTACTGGTTAGACAGCTTGATTTTTGCAGTTCTTACTGGGAAGTTATTGGTGTTCAGTAAAAAAAAAACCACTATTAATAATTCAATCTCGACAGTATTGCTTGCTGTCAGCAGTTATTGCTCAGTGAGATTCAGACGGTGGGGAGACTGAGGCAGCATAATGGGCCGAGGTGATTTTATTGTTTCGACTGTTGATGGAGAGAAGAAAAGGGCGGCGTGCGTTTGAGCTGCTTCAGCAGCATTTAGCTGGAATCTTCACATAAATGCTTATTTTTATGATTCTTCTCTGGACACAGTTATTTTCTCAGGATGCATTCGTCAATAGTTCAGATACGAGTTTGGTCAAACACAAACAGACTTGTGTGGTAAAGTGATGAATTCATAAAGAATTACTAGTGAAGCTGCAGAGCTTTTATTTGTTTATGTTCATGAACTCCCTAACCAGCTTTTAAAATGTCCTCGTCCTCTGTTCTCGACACAGGAGTGGGTCAAACCTGCTTCGTTAAAAAAACACTTAGTCCATCTCCGACTATTGGGGTTCTGACCAAACGTCTCACCGTGTGCTCTGGTTTACCCTATGTCAGTGGTGTCCATCCCTGGTCCAGGGCTTTCATCCAGCATGTTTTAGTTGTTTCCCTGCTCTGCGTCTGATGCAGTGGTTACATCACCTGTGGAACAACTCGTCAAGCCTGTTAATCACCTGCTGATTGAAATCAGGTGTGTTGGAGTAGAAAACCATCTAGAGCAGGGGTGGGGAACTTTGGTCCTCAAGGGCTGCTATGTTTTAGCACGTTTCCTGTTTCAACTCACCTGATTAGCAGGTGATGGACAGAGATGAAGAGCTGCTGAACAGATGATTCAACCACTGAATCAGAAGTTTTGGGCCAGGGAAACAACTAAAACATGCTAGATAGTGGCTCTGGAAGACCATGGTGGACACCTCTGCCCAGCAGGGACCACCCTGTCCATCATGGTTCTGACCCAGTGGCCCACAGACACACTGAGGCCCCCTCAGGTTCTGGAACAGCTCCTCAGAGTCCGGCTGTTAACCACAAACAGTTCAAATTCAAATTCAAAGATACTTTATTAATCCCAGAGGGAAATTATCATATCTAGTTGATTCATGATCATAATTCAGGAGCATTTATGTTTCTGGGTGTTGGTTAAATTCTGTTTACTTTATTCTGATGGTTTCTAGTATTTGTCATTGAAATGTATTATTTTTACATTATAACCTTAAAATCAGTGAACTGACGCTCATCCTCTGCAGCTGCTTCAGCTGTACTCGTGCCGTTGGAACGCTTTTATTGCATCACAACGTGCCTGCTAAGGAAGAAGTGCCTTGCTGAAAAGTTTTGCAGCTGAAGGAATGGATACTTGATATTTGCTGAAACCTGAAAGTCCTTTTTGACCTTCACACACTTCCACGACTCACTTCCTGCCTCATTATGAATTTCTGAGCTGATGAATGTTTCCATTATTTATTGATGCATAAATCGACGTCTCATTACCATGAAGGTGTGTTTGTCCAACCCAGGGCAACCCCCCCCCCACACACACACACTCCTCATAATCACTTATTTATCACAAATCGATTATGCAGACTTTGACTGTTGAACTAAATGTTTTTGTGTCAGACAGGATGTTCTAAGCTTCCTCCGCTCTGCTGTAGGTCGGTTCTGAACCAGCTGGGTTTTTATTCACAGGGTAAGAAAATGACTTTATTTCAAAAAATCAACACAGTGTTTTAGATTTTGAACTTTCAGCTGCTGAATGAGCATTATAACATTTGATCTTCTGTACCTTGTTTAATGTTTCTGGTTATAATCTGATTAATTCTGGTGCATCTTCAGGCCATCTCAGATTAAACTAAAGCTTCTAAGTAAAACTTGAACGCGCGTTGAATCAAATCGATGGGCCTCTTGACTCTGCTGTGTCACGTCTCTTCTCCTTTTGGCCGTTCAGGCCAAATCAAATCCAGATTGTCCCAAACAGTTCGGTGGAATTTACCAAACTTAATGCCTCCCCCCCTCCCTCCATGCTCACCTGCAGGAAGGGAGCAAATACCAGAGTGTCAGCTGGGACCTCTGAAGGATATTGGGCCAACATGCTGTTGGAATTGAGCGCTGGTGTTTTGGGAGGTTTAACTTTCATGTCTATGGAAACTATTATGGTCTGGATCAGATGAACTTTAACATCATTTAAGCAAACGATCAGAGGAAAGAATTTGGTGTGTTAAAAGAGGACCAAAAGGCACCGGTACCGCACCCTGGCAGTCACATGAGACCCAACAGAACCTGCAATACTGACTGGTTCTGAGTCAAGAACTTCAGGTTGTCTCACAGATGCAGGACCAGAAGGTCCAGAGGAGGCCAGCTCAGAACCAGTAATTCAGAAACATTATGCTGAATCAGAACGCAGCAGGTGTTTGGGCTGCATTCCATTTAGAAGTTCCTTTAATTTTACAGAATGAGCAGCTGCAGGAATGGAATGCAGTCCTGTGGTGCGCTGCAGAGTAGAAATGTTTGGCATGGAGCCAGTAAACCATCAAACTAAAACCCAGATATATTTAATCTGGTTTGTAATCCAGATTAACATCAAACTGTCAGTGGGACTAATCTTTTGTTTACTATTCAGTGAATGATAAATAAACAATATAATACGTGTATGTAGAAACATTTAGTTTATTATAATTTCGGATATTAATCCATAAAATTATATATAATCTAACATGAAACTGAGTCAAAATAAACAAACATTAATGTTTTGTTCAGAGACCCATAGTCAAGTGTTACGACAGGGTCTCTCTCTCTCTTTCTTGTTCTGTCTGTGCGCGCATGTGTGTGTGTGCGCGCGCGCGCGTGGCGGGAGAGGGTAATCCGTCTAACGGAGCTTCCTGCCCGTAAAACGAGCGCCGCAAACCTGGTGACGCGCAGAGGGAAATGGAACGCTGCAGATCGGATCAATTTGCGGAGAGATCCGGCGGCGGGACCTGGGGGGAACCGGGAAACCAGAACCAGCAAAGTCAAGCTGCCGGAAACTGGACTATCTTCAGAGAAAGAAGACCGCCAACTGTTCCGGTTCTGTACGGGAACCCAACCCGCTCATTTAACAGATTTAAGGAAAATGTTCAGATCCTTAAACTCAAACACAAGAATGGGATTTTTTATTTTCCTCCGATAAGAAATTGAGCGTCTTTAATTTGAAGGAATCAAAATAATGAAACTCAAAACACCGAGGCAAGTTGTTTGCTAAACAAACAAACAAATTTACTACACGGATCTGAGTGAATACAGGGACTCTATTTTACTCTGAAACTCATCACCGGAAACTCCACGCCTGTTAATCTATGCGTCTTTACGCGCGGACCTGGCACCCAGCGTGGTGCGCTCTGCTCCTCATTCCTCTCCAACTCCTCTTCAGTTTGCCAGAGACGGTCTGAGCGCGCGCGCACACGCAGCTCTTCCTTTAATCTCTCAAACACACACACACACACACACACACACACACACACACACACACACACACACACACACACACACTCTCTCTTTATGGCACACGCAAAGTGAGGCGCGCGCACTTGCTCTCGGACAGGAGTGAAGAAGAACTTCTCGTTTTGATCCAACTTCTCTCTTTGAGATTCCTCCACCAATGCGCGGATTTTATTCCCGTTCCCGCTGCTGTCCCGGACTGAGGAAGAGCACTTTAAGGACCGGACCGGATATGTAAAACAATCTGTTGGCTCGACGCAAAGCAGAACCTGAGAAAACCAGCAGAGATGGATGAGCGGAGAGATTCTGGCGCGTTGTTCTCGGTTTTCTTCTGCTGGATGCTTTTGGAATTTACTGAAGGACAGTTCTTCCCAGGTAGGAACACTGCTTGTTTTTGGAGTTCTGTCTGGGCCGGCGGATGTCAGGTGGACATGTTTCAGGTTCCGAACCACCAACGTCAAGTTTGGAGCTCGGTTCTGCTGCTGAATGTTGAGAGGTTCTTGGAGTTTCCGGTCTGGTTCTGATGCGTTCTGGTTGTTTTGGACTCTTTTGGGTGTTGTTGCTCCTGAAATCTAATGAAATGATAGTTTTTATGGTAAACAAAAGATTTAAACTCGGAGTTTAGAGCTGCTCCGTTTGGACCTCTCATTCCGACCTGACTGGGTTTATATCCTCCAGCTGACAGCTTCTCTCTGGATTCATTACGCGCCTCGGATCTTCTGAGAGTTTTCAGAATTAAATAATAAAATCATCAAATTAAAGGAAATCTATCAGATATAAACTGTTCTGCTGTTGGTTTACTCCCAAACATCCCGAATCCCGCCAACATGGTGACAATCCTCCTGGATCCAGAACCCAACACACGTGTTTGTCTCATAATTAGAAGAAGCAGCTGTTTTAACCGGGATGTTTCCGGTAACAACACACGCGCTGATGAGAAGTTTGGAAGGAACTCGTGTAGATGAAGTGATGTTCTGTTGGACCTGAGCAGCGCGTTGGTTCCGCTCTTAGCTCCACCTGTTTGGTATTCATGAGCTGTCAGGCTGCAGAAAGAGGCTACTTTAAAGGGAAGACTGTCTCCGAAGCCTCGCCGCTGCGCGTAACGGAGATTCAACTCCAACTCTGTTCGAACCGAACCAGCCTCCAGAGGCAGACAGGCGCCAAGTTGATCCTAAATAAGCTGCACAAGTGTCTTTGTTCTTAAATGAGACTAACAAAAGAAAAAACGTAGAGTAAATTAAATTTAGATAAAAACTAAATAAAAAAAACGTTTAAATTAAAATGTTTGAGCTCATCCTGGACTTGAAACCTTCCAGGTGTTTTATACAGGTTATTAAATACGTTTTCAGTTGATTTGTTCTCATGTATTAAATCTACTTTAAAGTTGTATTTTCAATAAGTTACATTTCCAGCTGTTATTCTGCTCAGCGCCGTTAGAGGGCGGTATTGGAGCATCTGACGTCTCCATCTGTCATTCTCATCCCTGAAGTCCTCCACAGGGACCAACGAGGTTCTGATGGGCCTTTTGCTATTCAGCCTTAATTTGGGGTTTAGATATTTTTAAGTGCAGAAAGCTGCTTTAAGTGTTGATGGTCATAAACTAGAGATCAGTGGTGCAGATCTGACAGAAAGACCTCTGATCCGTCCTCTGCAGGGTAAAACCCACCAATTAAAATGCTTTATTTTTTTAGCTGAGCTCTCCGTAACAGTTTGGTTTAGATGAACAGATCCTGTGAAGATGCTCCATTTGGGATAATTTGTGTCCAACAAGGAAGCATTTCTCATTCAGAGGGGGCTCCAGGTGCAGCTGTGGTCCTGATCCACATCTTCGGGTGTCTGAGAGACATCAGGGGCTCGGAGACGCTTTCAAGGAAGCACATTTACACTTTTGTGTTCTGGCTAATTAGATGAGCTCAGCAGGAAATATTAGGTGTGTGTGTGTGTGTGTGTGTGTGAGCTGTCTGCTCTATTTTGTTGACTCTGCACAAAGATTTAACTTTCTTAATCTGACTTTGAGGATCAATTTTAACACTTTATATGATGAGGGTGGAAGATGTGGCAGATTTTTGTCTGAAACTTTACAAAGGAACTGTTTTGGTTAACCTTGTTTCTGCTGATCAAAGATGGCTGCCACCGCTCATCATGGCTAACGGGGTCAGTTTTAGGAATATGAAGGTAAACCCTGTTGTCTTAGTAGCTGAGAGAAAACTACAACAACCAAAGAGCTAAGGGATCTTAGGAGAAATTTTGTGAAATCAGGTGAGATTAAGTGTAAAACTCTTGCCTTCATGAAGGCAGGTGGCTCCTGGGTCAACTCAGAGCAGGATGGAGGGAATTGTATCTCCACGATGGCCTGGGAACCTTAGTGACCCCACCAGTGGAGCTGGTGGAGGTTCTTGTGGAAATGTGACCCTGACCCAGATTGAACAGAATGACAAATGACGTTAGCGCTAGCATTAAAGGTGGTGGGTGATCTGCATGCCTTCAAGGAATTTTAGTTTGATCTCTTTTAAAAGGTAGAAGATGAAGACAACCAAAAAGAAAAAGACACAATTGTTAGAAGAAAACATTGAGCAGAGGAAATGTGTAGGAAGACGGGATGTGGAGGTGAAAGTTTGAGGTTCAAAAGGTAAAGATGGAGAAATGAGAGAGTCACTAACAGTGAAGGTGACAGGATGAGGTCATGTAGAGAAAAGAAGGGATGAGATCGGAGATGAATAATAGAAGAAAGGATTTCTGAAGCAAGGAGGAGGTGAAAGGGGAAGGAGACTGTCCTGTCGTTCATCACTCCCGTTTAAACGAAGGGAAGAAACACACAAGGAGGAGGAATATTTGGAGGGAGTGACTGAAGATGGAGAGAAGTCCAGGAGAAGAAAACATGAAAGTAAGTTGATTATGTCTGACTGTTATGGATCATCTGAGTGGCTGTAACAGTTTCCTGGGTTGTGTTAATGGAAGCTGCAGCTTTATGACAGGAAGTCTCTCACCTCGTGGCCCTTCTGCTTGGTATGCCGGCCCTGCTCCCGCCTAATCCGCACCACTTATTCTATTGGTCCGACTAACTGACAGACTAATGGCAGGGCGTGCAGAGTGCCGGTCTGTGAGAGCGGGGCACGGGCGGGCGGACGCTCCAGGGACAAGTGGAGAACAACAAGCGTGAGAGGAATCATGAGATGGGCGAGCGTTCCGAGTTATTCCTGATTTGTCTGAGTGATGTCGGATTAGAGAACCCGGGAGAAGTGCTGCTGGGGTCTGAGCAGCAGATCTGACTGGGCTCCTGCTGGAGGAGACTAGATGGAGATGCAAAAGTTACGACAACATCTGAATCGGTCACACAGGAGTTGAAGCAGCTGTGCAAAGATTCTAGTTGCACTTCACTAATTCCCAAATCACAGAAATAAAAGTTAGAAGTGTTCTAGATGTCCTCGGCAAGTGTTTTCATCAGATCTTGGATGAAAAATCAAAAATCCCTTTAGAAACATTTTAGAAAGTCGTCCAGATAGTCGACGGCCTTTGAGCCGGTGGATGGAGGTTAAACTAAAACACCTGAGAAGCTGGAACCACTGCTTTATTTCCTCTGTAGCATATTCAGTGTTGTCTTTTCTATAATCTTTATCTGTTTATTTAAACCAAAACACTAAAATACAGCTAAACTTGATGAAGTGACTCTTCACTAACCTATCTATCCTCCCATCTTGTCTCGCTGTGAAGAGTTAAATATCGATGCCGTTGGAGTCTGGAGCCTCACCCTTCTAATTATAACTTTAGGGACGTTAATTTTATTTGAATTGATTTTAATGTCAGCTGCGCACAATGTGGTTTCCTGCTGTCGTCCGCTCTGGAGGCATCGACTGAAATGATTGTTGGCGTTGAGGCTTATGGTCGCCCGTCAAAGTCAAAACGTCTGAAAACTTATTTCTATTCAGTAAACTGAAACTCCAGAGTTCTGACTGGCGGCTCAGTTCCCACCGGGATGTTTATCCAAGCCGAGATTATCACGGCTTAATGATTTTGGTCTGAAATGGAACGTGTGTTCTTGTCTTAAGGTCGGTTACTCCTGAAACTTGTTTGAATGCTTAAAGGTTCACAGAAAAACTGTTCTGGAATGAGCACATTAGTCCGATCATCACCCAGTGTCATGATTTTATAGTTCATCGTAGAGCAGTGGAGCACCCTGCCACCACCGCCACAACTGTCTCTCGCACGCGCGCACGCGCGCACGCACGCACGCACGCACGCACGCACGCACGCACGCACGCACGCACACACACACACACACACACACACACACACACACACACACACACACACACACACACACACACACACACACACACACACACACACACACACACCAGAACAGAACAGAAAGTGATGGATGGAGGCACTGAGAGCTGTTTCTGATTTAACTTGGGTATAAATAACTGACTTTTCCCCCAGTGTCTTTATAAAAATATGGATTTCTGAGTTTTAGATCAACTGATCAAAGATGGTGCTGAAGGTCGGTCGATTACGATCGGCAGGTTATTCTGTTGCTTTCACACAAACTCAAATATACACAGAACAAATTTAGTTTTTCCTTCGCCTGTCTAAACCCACACCTTCTTCAAGCTGGAACAAAATCTGTAATTCAGATTATTTAGATGTCTCCTGCAGGCAACACGTGAACTCATGAATATAGAGGTTGTTGGTTTCTTTGTGTAGAATCATAAATCTCCTGATGTGGAGAAAAAAATGAGCATAAAGTTGTGGTTTAGACGTAGAGTCGGTCTGCTTCCATGTCGGAACGTTTCTGATAACCTATCTCAGATTAAGGATGTGCCTGGTAGACACAAACAGGTTAAACATCCACCACAGTCAAAGCTACTAATTACATGAATAATATATGATTGGGGGGCAACGGTGGCACGGGAGTTAAAGCTTCTCTCCGGAGTATTTCTTTTATCTGATGGCACCATCTAGAGGCTGACAAGCATATCACACCAAAAGTCTATTCCTCTGTTTGTTTAAGATGGCGACTTCTCGTTTCTGTTTATAAATGTGCTTCTGTAGCCGACAAATGGAGCTAAAACACATCATGTCATGCTGTGTTCTCATATTTATATTTTAAAGACTTACTTGTCCGTGAAAAGTTAATCAACTCTGCACAAGTCGAGGTATTCCTTAAATTTGAAGCATCTAAGTGGTAGTCTAACGCTATTGGTTAGTTCTGGTCGGTGCTCAGTTTCCTATTGCACGGAGCTCTGCGGGGCTGGGGGCGTGGTTAGCAAAAAAAAACCATGTATTGCTTACATTTTATCACAGTGCATGATGAGATAATCACTTTTATGGATTAAAAAAATCATACATAATTTCTGAAAGGGGAAAACTTCGGA